CGCGGGATGACACCTTCTAATTTAGTTTCCTTAAATTTCTGGTTTCATGGACCGTCTCGGTTGGTTTAAACTGAATGTCAGTGGCCAACAAACAATGGGCAACAATCTACTATGATTCTTACAGAAAACCTTCCAGAAATTCGAAACACTAGTTGTTCTTTTATTAACTCTGTCAACAAATTCGACGCCCACACTATTGAGTTAATCAACAAACATTCTTCATTTTTAAAATTACAGCGTATATTCGCTTATGTTTTAAGGTATATAAGCAATCTTAAAATTCCTGAGAGCTCCTCTAGATAGCTGGGTCCTCTAACTGTCCTTAAACACAATCAAGCGCTTTTCTTTTTGATTCGCACTATGCAGCAATACCATTTATCTGAAGATTATTACCAGTTGTCTTCTTCTAAACCTCTTAACAAAAGAAGCAAACTATCATCTCTACGTCCTTTCTTCGACACTACACACAATGTAATACGTGTTGGAAGTCGACTACAACATTCCAATTTTGATTTTGGTAAAAGACACCCAATTATTCTCCCTTCAAAATGTCACCTTACAACCATCATAGCACGTTCTGAACACATTAGACTTTTACATACCGGACCACAAGCTCTCTTATCAGCTTTGAGGGAGAGATTTTGGCCTCTAGGAGGATACCACCTAGTAAAATGTGTGGTTCGTGAATGTATACAATGTTTTAAGGTAAATCCCAGACCTGAGTCACACCTCATGGGAAATCTTCCTACTTCTCGTGTCACTCCCTCTCGGCCTTTTTCGATAACTGGATTAGACTATGCTGGCCCATTCCTACTGCGTGATCGAAGGGGTAGAAATTTCAAAACAACTAAAGCTTACGTTTCACTTTTCGTGTGCTTCGCCACTAAGGCTATCCACTTAGAAGTAGTCAGCGATCTCACAACTGAGTGCTTCCTAGCATGTCTACGTCGTTTCACTTCGAGACGTGGTAAATGCAATGAAATACATTCTGACAACGCGACTACATTTGTAGGAGCTAACAACGAATTAACCACATTTATTTCTTCTCGCGCGAATAGCATCGCAAATGGTTTATCACAAGATGGTATTCAGTGGAAGTTTATACCTCCCAAATCTTTCCATTTTGGGGGTCTTTGGGAGTCTGGAATTAAATCCATAAAACAACATTTAAAAAGGGTAATGGGCAATGCTTTACTAACTTTTGAAGAATTTAATACAGTATTGTGTCAGATAGAGGCCTGCCTTAATTCTTGTCCTCTTTGTCCTCTCTCTCATGATCCCAATGACCTAATTCCTCTTACACCCGCACACTTTCTGAATGGAGACAACCTGATGGCGTCACCTGATAGCCAGATACTTGATCTGGCCGAAAACCGACTTTCAAGGTTTCAACGACTACAGTCAATGGTGCAGCATTTTTGGACTAGGTGGTCCAAGGAATATGTATCCTCCTTGCAAGCCGTATCAAGTGGAAGACCAATTTTCCACAATTAATTAACATTGGCGCTATGGTCCTTATTAAAGAAGATGGAATCCCACCACTAAAATGGAAATTAGGACGAATTTCCCAACTACATACTGGTGACCATCAAGTTATTCGTGACGTCACAGTGAGGACTTCTACAAGTGAATTGAAACGTTCCGTGACCAAAATTTGTGTATTGCCGAATTAGTTTATTTTTTTTCGAACCCCTACAGTGCTTCAAGGCCGGGACTCTATATTAGTGCCAAACCGGACATGTTCCGAATTCCAGACGATGATACGAGGGGTGCGGGTTGCTCCCCCACTCACCGAGAAAATACATAGTCCACTACAAGCTTTCGAAGAGCAAAGACATTTTAAAAATATATTTATGTATCGTCATTGTTTTAAACTTTATAATAAAAACGTGAAATTCTCAAAACTTACACTATTTATTAACAGATATTTTACGTCAAAAATATTGATTGATGCATTACATTCACGGAAGCTTTATGTAACAGGAACACTAATGAAAAATAGAATACTAAAAAGTGATGTGACATTTAAGACAGATAAAGATCTAAGAAAATCAGGAGGAGCGATATGCTCGTAAACAAAGAAAACAAAATACCTGTTATAAAATGGTTAAATTCCAAACCAATCTATATGGCTTCATTAGCATTTGGAGCTAAATCCTTGGGATTGTGTGGGCGCTGGTCAGAAAATGATAAAAAATACATAGAAATAAATCATCCAGTAGTGATTAAGCACTACAGTGAAAGCATGAGTGAAGTAGATTTGCTGGATAGGACTATGTCAAGCATGTGCAGTAGAACAAATGAATGGACAATACCGTATATTTACTCCTTTATTGATTTTTGTGCTGCAGCTAGTTGGATACAATATATGTAAGATTGTTTAGCTGCAGAAACTCCCAAAAAACATATTCAAGATTACCTCTCATTTAAAGTGACAGTGACGAAGAAAATGAAAATATAACCATAAAAAGAAGAAAGACTGCATCAATCCCTGATAAACGCTTACGTTACCACCTCCCAGAATTCGTTAATAAAAGCCAAAAATCAAGATCAAAATTCAGGTATCCTGAATGCCACAACTTGACGTTTGTCAAATATGTCCGGTGCAATACCTTTTTTATGTTGTAGTGTCAATAGAAATTGTTTTACTGAATTTCATCAATAAAAATGATAAGTGAATATTAATTTTTTTATTGTCAGTCCAGACCCAAAGTATCACGAGCGGTACTACAATTTAAAAAAAAAAAACAAAAGGTTTTATTTTTATTTTTTTTTTTTATATTTAGTAATTCCAAATTGTAACATTCTTTTGATTGGTAACAAAAACATTACTGCAATTCATGTTTTTTATTATTATATATATATATATATATAATATATATAAATATATATATATATATATATATATATATATATATATATATATATATATATAGTAGTTTTGAGTTTCTTGAACCGTATTATATTTAATATAAAATTAATGTTTCTTGGGTTTAGGTTCAATAAAAATATGTTACATGTGGAACAAACCCAACAGTATCAAAACCACTTATACAACTCTTCCATATATAAAAGGTTTATCTGAACAACTAACCAATCTTTTAGCCAAACATAACATAACAGTGGCTCACAAAGGTAACAATCTCTTAAATAAATATTTCACAAAACTAAAAACACAAACTCCAGAACTTAAAAAATCACATGTTGTTTACGAGATACCATGTACAAACTGTGAAGGTGTCTATATCGGTCAAACCAGTCAACTGCTTCAATCCAGAATTCGTTCTCACAAATACGACACGAACAACGTCACTGCGCTCACAAAACATGAAAGCGGGAAGAAGCATAAATTTGATTTTGAAAACATCAGAATTTTAAAAACAGAAAAAAACAAAAAGAAGAGGGAGATATCCGAATCAATAGAAATAAAAAGAAACACCAACGCAATAAATGACAAAAAAGATACACAAAACCTAAATAAAATATATTTCAATCTGATTTAAACAATAATAATATAACATCATAAAAAGCTCTTAAAGTCATAACATATCTCCACCTTACCTTTTTCGAAAACATCAACGATACGCTCATATAAAAATAATTATATACTAATGACAGTAAACAATGAGATATCAGATATCAACTTTTATATGTCAGTTCGTTAATGCCTGTGTCACGTTTTACGTTTTGGTAAGTCATATATATATACATATTTTAAAATATATGTTTGTCCTTATATATATACACATTTTAGAATCTTGACAAAGGCAAGGGTTTCCTGCCGAAACGTTGATTGATTGCAATGGAAAATAAAATCTAGTTCCACATGTAACATATTTTTATTGAACCTAAACCCAAGAAACATTAATTTTATATTTTATATATATATATATATATATATATATATATATATATATATGTATTATATGTTATATACTATATATTATATATATATTATATATAATATATTAATGTAGATATATTTTAATGAATATCAAGATTTTGGTATATTTTAAAAAGTTAAAAGTTATATTTTCTTAAATTCAATTGTTAAATTCAATTTTCCTTTAAGCAATTTTTGTGGGGGGGGAGCTAACTATCAAGGAATAGTGTCGAAGATTTAAACGGGAAGAGAAGAGACGAATGATAATTATTGACCAGGTGCATTGAGTATTGCATAAACAGATAGAAATTTGGCATGTATGGAAGGCTTGATTAGAGAATATCGTCGAATTTTAATTAGAGCAATTTCAGATAATTATGAAGTAAGTATAAGATATGTCAATAGTATCATACACAAACTGGGTTACAGCATAGTTTTTATACCGTGGGTTCCTTGCATTCTGTCAAAGAACTCAAAACGCTTGCGAATATGTTTATCTGGGCAACATTCCACGAAATTCACGCAAAACGTTAATAACTTTCTTTATTCAATCTTGTTGTCATTATATTAAACCATCCAGTAAGCTGTTATCAGTGTAATAGAAATACGCAAATTCTTCGCCACCCAAGAAGTTTAAAGTTCAACCTTATGCAGGCAAGTTTAGCAAGTTAATGTTAACATTTTTTTGGCCATATAAGGCCCTTGCTCAAACAGTTAGTAGAACCTAGAAAACGTTCAGAAAAGCTCTCATGTGGTGTCATTCTTCTGCACCGTAATGATCGGCCTCATGTTGCCAAAGTAGCAAAATAAAATCTACTAGGAAAGAAATAGACAATTAAAGCACCCAACCTATAATCCTGATTCATCGCTATGCGATTATCAAATGTTTGGACCATTAAAAAATTCGTTAAAAGCTTATCGTTTCGATCCTCACGAACAAATACAAAATGAAGTAAAAAAATTATTTGAGCAAGAGCCACAATATTTTTTTAAGTAAAAAATACATTGGTTCGTGAAATATTGGGATACCTATGTAACCTTAATTGTACTGGTAATTATTTCTAGATATATTTGTTAACTATTTTTTTTTGCACCAAAAATGGGTTTCAATTAATTGACTAAAACTCGTAATAAATTGATAACATTTTAAACTAAAATTTATTGTAAATAATTATATTTTTTCTTCTGAGCTTAGCTTAACAATCTTCTCAGATACATCCCAGATCTTTTTACAGAAAACTTTATTGTGAGCTCCCAGAGGTTTCAGATCCGGAAAATATTTTCCATGGAATGTACCAGTTACATTTTTGAATTCCTCCGATATTGCTAGCATTATTGCCGGTTGAGAAGCTTGTCTAGGAGACTGAAATAAAAATGGGCAACAATTATATTTTGTTTATTAAAAATTTATTATAATTGGATCATGATGTTATTTTTTTGCATTAAAGTAGGTAACCAGTATATCGTCGGTATACTGCGAAAACCAGGTAAATGACAAATTTTACAAAATTGAGTTAAGTATACCAAAATTCTCAGCTTTTTGCGCTCTACATACAGGTAAAATCCAATAAATGATACGACTTACCGTTGAGCAGATAATTTGTGTAATAAACAAATAAGTTACACCTGACCAACTTTTCATTTTCCAGTAAAACAATATATTGCTACTTACTTCCATAAAATTGATGTTCAGTTGCATGTAAAACTAAGTAAGCCCACATATATGATTGTCCTGGACAACAACATGTTTCTACTACTGCATACCATATTCAGTAAAAAGGTGATAAATGTCTTTAATACATTTTACATGTATAATTTAATAAAATTTCTCATTCATATCGACTATTAAAAACTCTTAAATACATTTACTTGATTCTACCTGAAAACGGGTTGAGTGAAAATTTAGAAATGATGACTGCTAAAACCATAAATGATCTTAATGGTGTTTATGATATAATTTTTATCTGCTGATATCTGCTGTGCAGAGTTATTTGAGGATTCAGCAGATACGTGTTTGTATGTATAATATTAACAGACGGTTTTTGAACTTAGTAGAAAATAGTTTATACAAAGTTTAGTCTGTATTACCTATCTGTTTTGATTTTGTGTTACTAAAAATTATAAAACAAAGAAACAATGAATTCAAGAGCTAAAAGAATTTTATCCATGGTGAACAAACAATCCGAAAATGCCGTTAATGGTAAGTATTTTACAAATATATTATATACAATATATTATATACAATTTTATTATAAAAGTAATAAATAATACAGTGCTTCACAAAGTCAAATTGAATTGGTTGGCATTTTGCTTCTAGGTAGTAAATAACACATTGTGACAAATTTACAGAGAATTTCGAATTAAAAATTTTTGTTTCTTACCTATTTATAGGGAGTTTGGAAATAAGTTTGACCGTTATATTCTTCTTGCTTTCATGTTTAATGTTTGTATTGTACTTAATAATAATTACTTATTTTTATGAATGTTTGGGCGTATGTTGTTTGCACAACTGAAGTTGTTATTATACGATGACAATTTGGTTGGGCTATCGAAAATAAGCAATATCAGCAATAATATTCATCAGTTTCGTGTGTCCACATTATGTAACAAATCTTAAATTTCTCTTGAGAGATCGTTTTGTACATATAAATACATATTATAATCTGAACAATACATAATCATGTTCTCGATACATAAAAATCAATACAGAAAAATAGTTATATGGGTGTTCACAAATGCACATGTTTATATTAGGGAAAAAGTTAAAAGATTATTCTAAAGTTAAACAGACTATTAAATAATATTGAATATCTTCTATTTGTGACCAGGAAGACAGTTTTGAAATATTTTATTTTTATTAATAAGTATCAATTAGTTACTTGTTGTGCAATATCGTTTTTTTTTTAGATTCCGTTGAAACTGAAGATATCAGTTCAATTCTTGATGATTCTCAGAACAATATAGCCTCAATGATGGAATCAATTTTGGATAGTGACTTCTCAGATGCGGACCCCACATATCAGCCAAGTGACGAGGGATCACTTTCTCTAGTAAGTCTATTTGAATTACAAACAGCTGACCTTGATAGCCTAAATGATGAGACGAAAGAAATTATTGAAATAGGAGCACTCACGAACAATGTAGTGTCAACTGAAATAGCTACTTGGATATTAGATCTACTTCTCGACAAAGTATGGAAAGATGTACGTCCACTAAAACGTTGGCGAAAAGCTAACCCAAAAGATTGGATGATAAATGTCGCAAAAAGGAGGCGTGCTGAGGGTTTACCTTATGAGATAAAAAAAAAGAATAGACCAGCAAAATTGCCAAAACCTGTTAATTGTTCAGAGTGTTTTTACAAATGTGCCAGTTATTTCAGCGAAGATTACAGACAAAGACTATGTCGTGATTATTGGAGCTTAGAATATATAGGCCAGAAAAATTTTCTTATTGCACGTATTAAAACGGAGCCACCAAAGAGAGTCGTTGCAGTTCGTCAAAGTTTAAAAAAACCACGTGCATTTTCCAAAAAGTGTTACTTTTCTTTGAATGGCCAAGAGATACAGGTATGTGAGAAGTTTTTTTCTAAGACACTTTGTATATCAGCGTCGTTAATACAAGATGTTGTAAGAAAAACTGATACTCTAGGTTTTTATGCAGATACGGATAAAAGAGGCCAGCATATACCGCCAAATAAAACAAGCCATGAATCCCGAAAAATCGTGAAGGCTCATATTGAGTCTTTCCCAACCATGGCCCCACATTATATTCGCCAAAGTTCAAAGCGTAGATATTTGGACAAAGATTTGAGTATAAGAAAAATGTACCAACTTTATATAAATGACTGTAAGGAGAAGAAACTTAAAAGGTGTTAGCGAAATTACATACCGAAGAATATTTTCTAACTACTATAATTTAAGCTTTTTCGTCCCTAAAAAAGATCAATGTTTAGTTTGTAATAAATATGATACGGCTAATCCAACTGATAAATCGGATTTAGAAAACAGTTACAGAGAACATCAGAAAAGAAAAGAAGTATGCAATCTTGAAAAACAAAATGATAAGAAAAGATCTAATGAACAACGGAATTTTGTTTCAATTACATTCGATCTACAGGCCGTACTACAGATTCCAAGTGGATTGACCGGACAACTATATTATTCCCGAAAATTATGCGTCTACAATTTGTGTGTATATGAAGCCTCATTGCCAAATGCAGCATACTGTTTTGCCTGGTCAGAAATTAACGGTAGACGAGGAAGTTCAGAAATAGGAAGCATTATACTCCACTACTTACTGTGCCAGAATATGTAAGTGAAATAAGTTTATTTTCTGATACTTGCGGAGGACAGAATCGTAATCAGCATGTTGCAGCCTTACTATTATGGGCTGTTCAAAACATAGAGCATTTAAATATTATTGAACACAAATTTTTAGAGTCTGGACATTCCTATATGGAAGTTGACTCTATGCACAGTAGTATCGAAACGCTAAAAAATACAGATCTATCTATGGAATGCCAGATTACTTGTCTGTTTTTCAAAATGCAAGAGGAACTAAAAATATCAAGGTTGATGATAAAAAGTATGTGTCGAACCATACAAATGTAAAGAATTTAAATACCACGACTTTTATGATTTAAAAAATTTGTCACATAATTTAATTAAAAATCGGACAAAAGACCAAAACGGCGAAAAAATAATGTGGTTAAAAATAAAAAGAATGAGATTCGTGAAAGGAGAGACAAACAGAATTTATTTTAATTATGATATGTCAACAAGCTTCAATTATTTCCTTACTGATACTGGACGGCAGTCAACAAGAAAAAAGCACGCCAAGTTAACTAATACAAGCAAGCTTGAAGAACTTAAGCGACTTTATGATGCACCTTTGCCAATTAGCATAGCAAAAAGGAGAGATTTGGTACAGCTATGTGATAAGGGAGTGCTACCGGAGGAATATCATGGGTGGTATCGCAATTTGAGAACAGGAAATGATGTAACAGACGTCTTGCCAGAGCCTGCTTTCAGTGACGAATCGGACGAGGAATCCGCATAATAATAATATTGTTACGATTATAAAAATGTTATTATTATATTCGAAATAAATTTGTTTTTTCTATAAAACTGCCTTTCATTCATATAAATAATAAGTATAACTACAAATAGCTGTTAATAAAATTTTCAGGGAAAACCAGTTAAATGTCATAAATATCGACTAATACCTTAAAACATTGCTGATACCAAGTAAAACCCTGCTATTTTGATGATAGAACTGTAAAATAATATATTTGGTATAATTATATTTGTTCTAAGTGTGTTATTTGAAGAGTAACTGATTTATTTAGAGTTACAGGTAAAACCAGGTAAGTGATAGCATTTCCAGCTTTTTAGGTTTAATCAGCCAGGTGTCTCAACTTGTTCAAACTAATGATAGAATATCATTAAAGATATATGAATCTTTAACTAGAATATCTAAAATTAAAAAGAAGCAGGCTACTTAATTCACAATAAAAATCTAAACTTTAAAAACGTTTTTTTCTCGTTTTCGGTATTCTGACATTTACCTGGTTTTCGCAGTATACCGACGATATATAGCGTTACAATGTTTGAATTTTACCTTTTATTGAACTATAGTCCGACAATTTTCTTTTAGAGGTGACTAATCTATAAATTGAACTAAGAACTAACGGCAACCATGTTAAAGGTTAGAAGTAAATAATTCTTACCAAGATCATTTTTATTGTGTATGCTTCGATCATGTAAATAAGTAAAAAAGTAAGAGTCCTATAAAATTTTCTCCGTAACAATACAAATTGTGCGATTCACGAGCTTATAGTTAGACAAGTTCGTTGAATAAAGTTCGGTAAACTTATTAATATTTCGCTGGTCTCTATATATTTACGTTCTTAAAAAAAAAGGGAATGAGAGAATATGATATTTTAGTTTATTTGTTCCACAATCAATATGTGCACAGGCGTAGTATGTTCTATTTCTTGGGAATATAATTAATAAGTAGACTTTATTATTAACTTTAAAATGGTTTTAAGGTAAGTAAAGTAAATTTAAGGTAAGGTTATTCTTTTATATAACCCATTAACGGCCGATAGAATGAACAAAGATAAATTTGACAATTAATTTATTTGATTGGATTAAAAACACATTAGACTAATTTACAACCAAAAATATTTTTTTCCCATTTTTAAGGTAAACTAGTACAATTTTTAATAAAGGAACATATTGTATCTTGTGACGTCCTCTCGTAGGAGTCACTATCCGGGTAGCTTTTGGACAGTCAGAGACAGAGTTCAAAATAAAAATAAAACTTTATTGTCTTCCTTAAATTAAATTGACAAAAATCTTA